CCAGCCCCCCAGGCCTGGGCTCTCACCTATTGGGGGCTGGATGAAAAAGTACACGGTGAAAGGAAGGAACACTGCGCAGGAAATGCCCAACGTGGGGGGTTTGGTCTCAGGAAGCGTTGGGCTTGGAGCACACCAGGAGGCCACTGAGAGTGGAGGCTGGATGCTCCTGCGGATAAGGCACGTGCAGAGGCCCAGAAGCAGCGCGGGGAGGAGGTCTGAGTCTATGAATGAATGCGTGGAAGAAGGAATGATGGCGCAAGGCCTAGGGAACTAAGGGCGAGACTGGAGAGCAGGAGGAATTAATGAATGAGTGAATAGATGGACAAACGAATCGAGTTGGATGACCCGGCAGCTTAGTGCAACAGAGGAACCAGAAAGCAAGGGGACGAGTAAACACGTGAATGAATGAAAGAGCAGGGGGAAGGGATGCTACGGAAGTAAAAGAGGACGCCCACGGAAGAGCGAGAGGCGAAGAACGGCCTCTAGGGGTGACAGCGCTTCTGCCCCGACCCTAGGCGGCAGAGCCACTTCCGGGGCCCTTTGGGCGGTGCGAAGGCCTCACTCTCGGTGGTCCCAGAGCGCGCCCGCCCTGGTCTGCGCGGCCCGGCAGGGGGAGCCGCGGGTGCGGGTCCGAACCCTGCCGGACCGCGGCCGCTCGCCTCACGCACTGTCCTTGGCCTGCCCCGGCATCCACGTGGCGCGGCCCAGCTAGGACGGCGCCCTGGTCAGCACCCGGGCTCAGGCCGCGGGGTACCGGGCGGGGTGGGGGTGAACGCAGAGCGCCCACCGAGGCGCCCAGGCGGTACTTCCCACTGCGCCTGCGCAGCTGCGGAGTTCGTCCCCAGTCACCAGCCCACGTCCTTCTGTTTCTATGGGGACCGGCCAGCTGCAACCGTTGCCGTGGATAAGCACCGCCCTTTCCGTTAGCCCCTCCCTGGCCTCATTTACACTCCCTGAGGGACACACACACCTCTACGCTAAAGTCGCCAGGATCTCAGACACGGGAAGCAAATCTGGAGAAAGAACTGTTCTGCAGCCAGAGGGTTGCACATTCTTCACCTCTGTCTATTCTCTGGCCATCAAGTCCTCTTTACAACCCCATGGACCTTGTCCAGCAGGGGCCTGGCGGGGAGGGGTGCGCATCTCATCTACCTAGGCACTGGCCCCGCGGCCCTTCCCTGGGGAACAGCACGTCCACGCTGGAATCACTCTTTGCTATATAAAAGTTTCTCAGTTGCCTCCACTCTCAATCCAGGTGGTTTGGACAAGTGTGAATGCATGACTCGGGCACACAGCATTCCATGCCCCTTGGCCCTCATGATTGACTCAGGATGAATATAGGAGCAACTTTCTATGGATATCACTGGAGCGAGAAGTTCTTTCTGAACTACTAGGGCTTCTAGTTTCTATGGAACTTGAAACCGTGAATAGCTGTCAGCTGGTAAGTGTCTGACTCTTCATTTCAGCTCAGGTCATGATCTCAGCATTAGGGAATCAAGCCCCGTGCTGGACTCTTTGCTCAGCAGGGAGTTGGTCTGTGTTTCTTGCCCTCCCTCTGCTCCTCCCTCCTATGCTTGCTTTCTCTCTCTCTAAAATAAATAAACCTTAAAAAAAAATGTATCCTTTAATAGCAGGTAATCATACATGCAGTAACAAAGAATCTCAGGAACACAATACAGATGTCTTTTTTCAATCACATGACTCCATGTAACTGCAGGAAACCTGAGAAATATGTTTGTGGGTGCAGGAAAAGGGGATTACAGGGCATTTTAGTCCATCTCTGCCATAGGACCCATAATATCCCCTATATATTGAGTTCATATTGGCAGCACTCAAGAGTCCAATATAGTCCATTGTACTTGCATTGAATGTCCCCAGGGCCTCCTCATACCCCTTACACACTCAAGAGTTTTCCCCAGCATGAAGTCCCTGGTTTTGACTGGGCTTATAGGCTCCTATACTCCTAGCCTTTCAAGTAGCCATTCAACTCCTTGCCCATATAGACTTTCTGGTGCATGACAAAGTTGAACCACCACCAAAGCTTTTCCACATGCTTCTTAGATAGTGTGAGGATCCCTCTTGGTATTCACACCCTTGTTGGTGTAGTTTTCTCCTACATTGAATCAGTAATGGTCTGTGTCACCAATAGAATATGGCATAAGTGAGTGTGTGACTTGGACTCTTTAATCGCTTCGGGGGGGGGGATTCAATTACCATGTCATGAGAACACTCAAGAAATTCTATGGAGAGACCCTTTAGACAGAAGCCACTTGACAACTATATGAATAAGCCATCTTGTCAGTGGACCCTCCAACCCCAGTCACACTTCAGATGACTTCAGCCTTGTGAGATCCTGTTATGTGACTCATTCTGGCCAATGTGTGGTGAGAGGAAGTAGCTTGCAGCTCTGTTGGGCTGTGCATTCACTTGAGAGGTGTGAGACCCTCAGAAGTCCCTTCCTATATTTCATATTAGTGGCCAGCCATGTTGAAGATGGTGGCTGTTCTGTAGTCAGAGCCCCTGACGAGTGAATAGGAATGAAATGAGCAGCACCCTTGCCAACCCGTGACATACAGTTTGAACAGGGTTAGTGTTTGCAGTCAATAAGGCAGTAAGCTTGTTACTGCAGTGGAACTGAGCCCACCTGGTCACATTCTCAGGTTTTCTCCAGGAAGAATTCTCTTGTGTTGAGTTTTGATGGAATGTTTTATTACACTTATCACTTGGGTTTCTCTTTGGGTTGAATGTTTTTAGGTCTATCAAGGCGTGCTGATGGTTGGAGGTCATCCATGGCATATTGACCAGTGGTAGAATTTATCTCCTTCAACAATCCCCTTACATCTACCAAGGATTGATTTATCAATAATAGAATTTCTCTCCAGAATGAATGTTCTGGTTGTGTGTAAAAGATTGAGCTGCCCTTGGGGATACCATTTTAGTTGGGTTTCCCTCCAGAGTAAATTCTGTGTGGACAGTAAAAAATAATTAATTAAAAATCCATTTTTGCCTGAGGTCCCCATATTGGCCACGTGAGAGGAAGGAGACTCTCAACGTCTACTGAACAGCTTCTCATACTTGCCACATGGAACTGCTGTCTTTCTGGTATGAGCTCTCCAATGGTTGGGTGGCAGCTGCAGTCTTCCTTGTGCTACCCAGGGTATCTGTCCAGCATGACTCTGCGATGTTTACTAGTATAAAAGAAGTTAAAATGGACCTTCAAAATACTGAGAATAGAACCATAGGGGTATGCGTTCTCATTTTTGCAGGACTTGCAAAGAGATTAGTGAATATCAACTTTGCAACTTTTAGCTCCTCTCCCAGGGTGGAATATGAAGCAGCCAGGAGAGCTGTGATTCTGAGGATTTCTGTGGAAAGAGTACTGAGTGACTGGGTCTTACCCTGTGGGGGCAGGGCAGGGACTCTTCTCCCTCACCTAAGACTGGGGAGGGCTTCAAGGAGACCACCTGGCTGGAGGACAGGCTGGGCGTCCCTCAAGAAGGATAGATATTCCAGAGCAGGATTTAAGCCCTCAGTGGGTGAATCCTGGATTAACCAGGACCTGGGTCTTTGTGGGGGCCATTGAGGGTGAAGGATACTATATGGTAAGTCTCTTTCAGGGTGGACTCCCTTGGGGCCGCTGAGGCTGGTTTTCTAGGCTGCCCCCTTTCTCTGTGGCTGCTTGAGTTGAGAACTTTGAGCACTTTCCATACCTGGAACATTTTGGAAGTATACTGTGCCCAGGCCCTTAAGGATTCAAAGATAAGCCAGCTCTGCCCTCCCTCCCGGAACTCTGGCTGGGCCACGTGGCCTCTCTGGGGCTCTTTGATACAGGCAAAGAACTGCCCCTCCTCTCCCAGTTAGGGCAAGGATCAAAGGGGGTGATTAAAGGTAGAGTGCCCAGCACAGTGCCTGGCATATAGTAAGCTCACCTAAAGTGCAGAGCTGTGGGAGTATCATTTTGGAACTAGTGTGGAGGATGGAGTGGGGAGGAAACTGGAATCACATTGTACACAACTATATATACTGCTCTGAAAGAACATGTTGCTTGTTCTAAGCCTCTGGTGGACTCCCTCTTATGTGGTGGCCATGGGGAATTGTGGCCACACATCTGGGTCCCCTCCTTGATTCTTCCAGGTAGCAGGAGATGGCATCCAGCTTGGAGTCCTCTGACAGATGAGGAGCACTGACTGGACCACCTTGCCTTGACATAGCACAATGAAGTCCCCACCTGCAATCACAAACAAGGCCAAGGCTGCCAGGGAATCCCTCCTCCTTCCAACAGGAGCCTTCTCCAGTGACTAGAAGCAACCCAGGGGCAGGGCAGAGGCCCTACCCACAAAGCCCATGGCCATTGGCCCCAGGAGGGTCATGAAGTATGCAGAGTCCCTCTCCAGAGGCCCAGGGAGGCCAGACGAGAGACAGGGCCAAGTTACACTAAAAGGTGTGCAAACGCCCAGAGGCTACCAAGGGTTAATGAAGCCCCCTAGGAAGGTGCAATGGGAGGCCCTGGGTTCAGATGTTACCTCTACCATTTTCTGACTGTGGCCCCGGGGAGTCACTCCCCACATCTCTGCTTCCCCACTTCCCAGCCCACTGCGGGAGGCAGAGCAGGACTCCTGATAGCCCACGAAGCATCTGGGTCACATCAGTGCTCCATCCCTGTGTTTATTAGCGCTTCACCAAAACCCATTATTATGCACCCACTTGAAAGGGTCACATAAAACTTTGAGTCGGGGAAACCTGCAGATGCAGGGAGTACCAAGTGAGATTTAAGAAAGACTACAACCGGGATCCCTGGGTGGCGCAGTGGTTTGGCGCCTGACTTTGACCCAGGGCGCGATCCTGGAGACCCGGGATCGAATCCCATGTCAGGCTCCCGGTGCATGGAACCTGCTTCTCCCTCTGCCTATGTCTCTACCTCTCTCTCTCTCTCTCTCTCTCTCTCTCTGTGACTATCATAAATAAATAAAAAATTTTGAAAAAAAAAAAAAAAAAAGAAAGACTACAACCGTGGCTCAGGTGTCTGGGAGAACAGCCCCCGCAGCCCAGAGCCATGCGAGGTCAGGAGGCCGCGTGCCGCTTCTGATGCTCCTTGAGGTTGGAGCGCTGGCTGAAGGCTCGGCCGCACTCACCGCAGGTGTAGGGCCGCTCGCCTGTGTGTGTGCGCTTATGGCGGACCAGACTGCAATTGCGCACGAAGGCCTTCCCGCAGTCTCGGCAGATGAAGGGCTTCTCGCCCGAATGCAGGCGCTCGTGCTGGCGCAGCTCGGAGCAGCCCCGGAAGGTCTTGCCGCACTCGGAGCAGCCATATGGCCGCTCGCCGGTGTGCACGCGCTGGTGCTGCACCAGGCCCGAGCGGCCCTTGAAGGCTTTCTCGCACAGCGGGCAGGCGTAGGGCTTGGCGCTGCTGTGCGTTCGCTGGTGCCGGCTCAGGTTTGAGCGCTGGTTGAAGGCCTTGCCACACTCTGGGCACGCATAAGGTTTCTCACCCGTGTGCACGCGCTGGTGCTCTACGAGGTGCGAGAACAGGCCAAAGGCCTTGGCACACTCAGTGCACTCGTATGGCTTCTCCCCCGCCACCGACACCTTTGAAGGGCCCTGAGTCCCCTTGCTGCAGTCCCCAAAGGGCGGGCACCCAAAGAGGAAGGACCTCTGTGCCAGGGGCAGGCTGTGGCGGTGGCGCTTGGCCGGGTGTGTCTTCTGGTGGCGGTAGAGACCCGAGCAGCGCACAAAGGCCTTGCCACACTCAGCACACTCATAGGGTCGCTCACCCGTGTGGATGCGCTCATGCTGCAGCAGGCTTGAGGTGCGCGTGAAGGCCTTACCACACTGGTCACAGACGTAGAGCCGCTGGGCCGGGGGGTCCCGGGCACTGCCACCAGGACCCGAAGCCTGGCCACAATGAGGACACATTAAGGGGCCTTCGGCTACCTGCTGCTGCTTGTTGTAGCCAAAGCGCTTTCCACACTGGCCACACAGGTGGGGCTCCTCTGCCATCTGCATCATTTCCTGCCGGGCCAGCAAGGCCCTCCAGGGAAAGTCTTCCTCACTGCAACTGCAGGCCTGGGGCAGCTCCTCCAAGGGGTTCTGCTGAAGGAGGGTCATGTGCAGGCTCTTTGGGAAGGTCTGGGTGCCTGTGTGCCATCCACATGACCCATCCTTTGTGTGGCTCTCCCACAGCTGGGTCCTGGGGCAGCACCAGAGCAACACCTGGCCTTCACAGTGATCACACACCAGGGACTTCTCCTCAGGAGATGTTCTGTGATGCTGCACCAGGCAGCAGTTATGGCTGGAGGCTTTGGCACCAACAGGGCACCAACAGGGGTCCTCCCCAGCATGTGGCCCCTGGGGAGTGACTAGGTAAGTGTCCTGACAGGAGGCCGGGCCATATGGCTCTTGTACCAGGGGTCCTGCTCCTGCACTCTGGAGGATCCCTGAACTGGGGCTCACACCAAGGCCCCAGCTCCAGGACCGCCTGTCTTGGGGAGCTGTCTTGCCGCCTGCTGTCCTTTCATGTAGGTCTCCCTCCTGAGAGTGGTATCTCTTGGCTGGGTCCTCTGCCAGGGGCCTTAGTTCCATCTTGGGCCTCTCCTCCTGGCCCCTCTTGGCTCCCTGGAGATCTGCCTTGGGAATGCCTCCCTGCCTGGAGTTCTGGGCCCAAGGCTCCATTCCTGGGGCCAGCCCCCAACACAGTGTCCTGGCTGTAGGATCTGGAAGAGCAGAGGAGAAATGGAGGTTGGCAGTTCTCAGGAGGGGAGTGGGGAGAACTGCCAAAGAATGATGACCCCAGGACTGATGGAGTTGCCCCAGCTTTCCATAGCCCAGGAAAGAAGAGAAGGAATGACATCAGGCAGTGAGAACCTGGGAGCTTCCTGCCCTGACTCCTGACCTCTGCCAGAGTCTAGGATGTCACTGAGGCCCCAGAGAGCATCACCCCTCCTCTTTTACCAGTTGTTGGAGCACCATCATCCCTGGTTTGGGACCTCAGCAGCCCTTCCCTTGAGCAAGACATACACTAACTGCTCAGCTGCCCACTCCCCAGAATCCCTTCTCCACTCCCAAGCACCAGCTTCCTGGCAGCATGCCCTTCTGACTCCCTGCCTTGATCTGGCCCAGCCTCATTGCCTGCCATCAGCCAGGTCTTCTAGGAGTTGTGAGATGGGGCTCATCTGGCAGAACTGAACACCAGGTCTGCCCCTCCTCACTTCTACCAAGTAACCTTGGTTCTCTATGATCTGGCAGCCTCATCTACAAAATGGGTATGATAGATGTAAACAGCTGACCTTGGGGGCCCTGATCATTCCAGCAACAATCAACACCAAGAGGGCCTGTTGCCTACTATTACTATTCCCAAATTCCACTGTGGCTGTTAGTTTTCTATTGCTGGTGTAACAAATTACCACAAATTTAGTGGCTTAAGGCAATGGAAATTTATTATCTCACAGGTCTGGACAGAAGTCCTAAGGCAAGGTTTCAGCAGTGTTGCTTCCTTCTGGAGGCTCAAAGGCAGGGTGCCTGCCTGCCTTTTCCAGCTTCTAGATGCCACCTATTTTCCTTGTCTCATGGCCCTGTCTTCCATCTTCAGTGCCAGCATTGAAACATCAGACTCTGCCTCTCCTGCCTCTTCTTTTTTTTTTTTTTAATATATTTTATTTATTTATTTATGAGAGACAGAGGGGCAGAGACACAGGCAGAGGGAGAAGCAGGCTCCACGCAGGGAATCTGACGTGGGACTTGATCCCGGGTCTCCAAGATCATGGAAAAGGCAGGCACTAAACCACTGAGCCACCCTGGCTGCCCTCTCCTGCCTCTTCTTTTTATTTTATTTATTTTTTATTTTTTAAATTTTTATCCATTTATGATAGTCACAGAGAGAGAGAGAGAGAGAGAGAGAGAGAGAGAGAGAGAGGCAGAGACACAGGCAGAGGGAGAAGCAGGCTCCATGCACCGGGAGCCCGACGTGGGACTCGATCCCGGGTCTCCAGGATCGCACCCTGGGCCAAAGGCAGGTGCCAAACCGCTGCACCACCCAGGGATCCCTCCTGCCTCTTCTTATACAAAGACACTGTGATTACATTTGGCCAACCATAAATAATCCAGTATAATCTTCCATATCAAGATCCACTATCCTACCTCATAGTCCCTTCTGCTGTGTGAAGTAACATATTCACAGGTTCTAGGGACTAGGACATGCACATCTTTTATTATTATTCCGCCTATCACAGTGGCTTTTTCTGAGTTCTTCGTATGGTTTACTGGGAAAACACAGTATGAATCAAGATGCCATTGAGGTGAAACAAAACTGAATGTTTAGCCTGCAGGGCGCCTGGGTGGCTCAGTGGTTGAGTGTCTGCCTTCGACTTGGGTCATGGTCCCAGGGTTGTGGGATCGAGTCCTGCACTGGACTCCCTGGGGGGAGCCTACCTCTCCCTCTGCCTGTGTCTCTGCCTCTCTCTGTGTGTCTCTCATGAATAAATAAAAAACATATTTAAAAAAAAAAAGAATCTTTAGCCTACAATCTTGAAGGACACACAAGCAGCTCAGGACAGTCCCGTCTGGATGGAGGCTTACTTGGCAGGGCATAGCTAAAACCTGTAGAGCGGGCAGGGTGACTGATGTGCAGCAAACATACATGGAGGGGTCAGGCAGAGAAGGCCCACCTCATGGGTACAAATACAGAAAGGACTTGCATGCTATTAAGTTACTGATCAATGACAGTCACTAATAGATGACTGACCTATTAAAGAGCCCATGGTAAGAATGAGAATCCTTCCTATGTTCTTGTTCCTTCCAGAACAAATATGGACCTGCCCAGCACAGCCTTTGAGGTATAAATATGTGACCACAGTAAGTCAACACTTTGCTGAGCACGAGGGCTCAGATCCTTGTCCTTTTGCTCTGTTTTTTCTATGGAAGGCAGATATTCCTTCACCAAATGTTCCAGAAATTTTGGGCACCTGGGTAGCTCAGTCAGTTAAGCATCTGATCCTTGATTTCAGCTCAGGTGATGATCTCAGGGTTTTGAGACTGAGTCCTGTGTGGGGCTCTGCACTGGGTGTGAAGCCTGCTTAGGATTCTTTCTCCTCCATGTGCCTCCCTGCCTTTCTCCCTCTTAAAAAAAAAAAAAAAATGTTCCAGATATTTGAGTCTATTTAGCGAAACAGTTTTCACCCATTCTTGCTTGACCCATTGCCACTTTTCTGCCATTTTTGCAAGTTTCTAACAAGTAGGTGCCCAGGGGCACCGGTGGCTTGAAATAACATGACTAGGAATTAAAAAGAATCAGGAAGCATTTAATCAAGTCTCTCTACAAGTTTTCAGCCAAAGACACATCAGAGCAACTGGGTGTGGTTCTTTTCAGGATGCTGATTATTTGGCCCTCAGACAGGACAACCACAACGGCAGAAATTGGTTGCTGGTTAGTGCTTTGGAGGAAAATGTTTGGGGAGTGAAAATTAGACATACTGAATTGGTTAAAGGTGAAATTGCAGAGTTGAACACGTTTCACAGATCCTGAGGGGTCACAAAAGCAGCTTGGCCACTAGTGCTCCGCTCTTCAGGAGCCTGCTTGTTGGAACGTGGAAAGCTGAAGGGCCCACATTAAGGGTGGTTTGTCTGGTCACATATTGAGTAAAGAATCTGGGGCATTCTCTAAAGAAACAAAGGTGGCAATAAGGACAGAACCACACTGTGACCTGAAGTTTCTCAAACAGTCCTCACTCCAGTCACGTGTGATAACTGCCAACCCTCCTGTAACTTCCAGGCCTTCAACCCAGGGCAGATGAGGCCACCTTTCTCCATTTGCACCTTAAAGCCACTTAGCATCTGGGTTGATTGAGATTCCATGAGGCCACATTCAGGTCCATAAGGGTACTGATCCTTGCTGGCTCTCTCTCCCATATGTGGCACTGAGGGGGGCTAATACTTTGGAAATCCAACACCTTCCTCACTTTGTGCCTTTGTTTCTCCATCTGACAGTTTAGCTATGTAGAGCTCAAGACTCAGAGGTTCTCAGAGCCCCTAGAGTGAGGGACTTCAAGCAAGCACGAGGACATCTGGGTGACAATAAACAATGGCATGTTGTACCCTAGTGCCAGACTATCCATGGGGCCCTCTAGAGTGATGCATCACTATGTAAGCCAGCAGGAGGATATGAGGGACACATCTCTTTCCCAAACACCTGTGGATTTGAGTCATCCAAGGATATTCTTTCCAGATGGGAAGTGTCCATAACTGTACACTGTTATTGTGTTTCTGCCTTGAGATACTAACTGCAGCTCTCCAAAAACAGGGGTAGGGAATGACACAGGCTAACCAGGGAGCAAACAGCTGTGGGCTCCACCCTAACAGTAGATGGATATGAATCTAATCTGCAATGAACACCATGCCCAGGGTTGATGGACCCGGGCTCAGTTGCCATGACTCTTGCAGAGTCCTAACGGGCCCCACCTAGGAAAGGCCAAGGGATGCACTTTTTCTAGAATGTGAAGCTTGCTGTGCAAATAAAATAGACAAGCTGGACAACCAAGTTTCAAAAAGTGTCTCTTGTACACTGGGACTGGCAAAGCTGTTGTATTGCACAGACCCACTGCAGGTGGACTGATTAGCTTCTTCCACCTAACTCTCAACAATCAGACTTTGTCCTAATGAGGACAGACAGGCTAGAAGACCTGGCAGGAAAAAGGCAATTGCACAATGCACTCCCACACAGCTAGTGGGGATAGAAAATGATGCAACCAACTTCTGTGGAAAGGAGCCTGGCAGTACCCCCAAAAGGTTACACATGGCATTACCATATGAAAGCAATTCCACTCTTAGGTATCTATCCAAGAGAAATGAAAACAGTCAAGCAAAAACTTGCACACAGATGTTCATTATGGCCTTTTCCATAACAGCCAAAAGGTAGGAAAAAACCCTCATTCATCCATCAACTGATGAATGGATAAACAAAATTTAGTCTATCCATACAAGGGAATATTACTCAGCAATAAAATGGAATGAAATAGTGATACATTGATGGACCTCAGAAAACATTATGCTCAGTGAAAGAAGTCAGACACAAAAAGATGTTGCAGAATTCCATTTATGTGAAAAATCTAGAATAGGCAAATCCATTGAGACGAAGGATAGATTAGTGATTGCCAGGGGCTGAAGGATGGAAGAATGGAGAGTAACTGCTTAATGAATATGCAATTTCACGTTGGGGCGCTGAAAATGTTTTGGAATTAGACAATGGTTGCAAAACATAGTAAATATATTAAAGTCTAAAAATCATAATAAGAAGGAACCTGAACTATACACTTCTAAATGGCTCATTTTTTAAATATGAACTATATCTCAAAAAAAAAAAAAAAAGAATGCACCCATGGCACAGTATTCCTGCTTTTGGTGTGCCCAGGTGTCTGCTGTAGAAGAGCCTGGGACAGTCTGCCCTGAAGCATCCAGGATGTCATCTGAGCCCCAGTCACAGGGATAGTAATGCATGGGAGGTGTGTGTGTGTGTGTGTGTGTGTGTGTAACAACACTTTTGTAATGAGAAAATCAAGGTTTCCAAAATTTCTAGGTAAAAATAAAATATTAACTTTTACCACATGCTCAAGCTGACTGTACACCAAGCAGAGTTTTCACATCAGAGGCTTAACCTCTATGTTAACAGCATTCTCCCCCAGACCCAGACTTCTCTTCAACCAAGTGTCTATTAATCCACTCA